CACACTGTGAGATGCTGTCTGTAGTAATACAGTGTCTGCTTTCTGAGCCGTGCTGGAGAGGACACTCATCAACTGTGGGGAACATTTGCCATGGAGCAGAGGAGGACCTTTAGAGCTTGACAGCTTTCAATTACAGCTCCAGCTTTTGATACTTTAACAGTGGCACATGAGAATAGGAGTGCTTTTACATAACAATGTAGCTCTCCCTTACAAATGTCCTCTTAAAAGATGACAGTCAGTTCATGGTGACTCCCTCCTTAGGAAAGAACATGTTGGTCTTAATATCTGCATATCATTTACATAACTGAAATCTGTAGTATCTCATTCTTAATTTTGCTCGGAAGTTGCCTTTCCACCATCATTATTCTAGTAAGTCCTATGTGGTGCCATTGATTGTAACTTTTTGTCTTTATTTTGTGTTTTTTTCCCCTTACATACCAATGTAAATAGGTGTCAACAAGTAAACAGCAGCTCCATATCTCAAAAAAAGATCATGGCTGGGAATTTTTTTTAACTATAGACACACATGAGAGGGTCATCTATCAAAAAGCATAGCAAATTATAAACCAGATGTGAAACTAGAATGGTGGTGGTGTTGTGACCACTTGTCCAGGGTAAAGAGAAGACCTTAAAAGCTGGGAGAAAAGACAGGTCATACATGGAGAAGGTGGCTGCCTCCATTTAGTATCGGCAGCAGTAGAATAAAGACCTTTTAGGACACCCAGACACTAAGAAGACTCATTTTCGTTTTCAAACAATAGCTGAACCTTTTAGGACACCCAGACACTAAGAGGATTCGTTTTTCATTTTCAAACAATAGCTGAAAGAATTGCTAAAAGTTACATTTTAGCAAGAAGGAAAGAACACGGAAATGAACAAGACAAAGAATTTGGACAATTAATAAACTCAAGTACTTTGCATAAATGGCTGACTTTTGCAGTAATTTGATTACTTTAAAAAAGTTTGTTTTTTGTCACTTTGGTTTTATGTTTATTTTTGAGACAAGGTCTCACTTTGTAACCTAGGATGGTGTGAGACTCACTATGTGTAGCCCAGGCTAGCCTGGAACTCATGGCCATCCTTCTGTGTCTGGCTCCCAAATTTTGAGATTACAGATATTAGACAGTGTTTTCTCAGTGTATTGTACAACCACCTGGGCATGAGGCTAGTCTCTGAGATGCTTCCACTTGTAATCAATCGCTTCCACTCCAGGTCGTTGATGTCAATTTCCATGTATAGCTGAAAACAAATAGCTAACCTTGAGATCAAAGTTTCTGTTGAGCATTTACAATTATAGTCATTGTGATAGTTTGTACTGACTGGCACATTGACAGGATCTCCGCTCATCTAGAAGATAAGCTCTGGACACTCCTGTGAGGGACTCTTTAGATTCAGTTAGCCTTTGGGAATACTTGTGAGAGATTGTCTTGATCAGGTTAGTTTAGGTAGGAAGACCCTCGTTAACTGGGCTGGGGTCTTGAAGTTAATAAAACAGAAGGGAGCTGAGCACCAGAGTTCATGACTGACCGCTCTTGACTGTGGATACATCGAAACCAACTGCTTCAGGCTGTCACTGTGATTTCTGGAGCCACCCTTAAAACTAAGACAAAGTCGGTCCTTCCATTTTAAGGGATTTTTGTCTAGTATTTTACCACAGTGGTAGGAAAAGTAACTAATATGGAAACTGATATGGATAAGTGGATCCCTTGCTGTGAATAAGCCCAGGCTTTTGGAACTTGTTTGAAGGACTGTGGAAGATTTGGGATTTGGGCTTAGAAAAGCCTTGGGTACTGTAAACAGATCTTAAAATGGACCATTTTGGTGGGCACTTGAAATACAAGGATGTTGAAGAGAAATGTGTGCAGTGGAGACCCAGCCCAGGAGATTTTGGAGTGGAACAAGGATGCTGTTTGGGACTGGCTTGAGGCCATTTGTGTGATATTCTGGTAGTGTTCTTCCCGTGTTCTGAGAACACAGCAGTAATGGGGATGTATGCCCTATGCCGCTGTGTATTGGAAGTGTGACACTGGTTTTTCTTTATGGAGGCTCCCAGACGAGAGATTGCCTGGAATTTCAGTGAATCAAAAGACTATCCCGTAGTATTAAATGGCCGTGATCTAAGGGGACAAGAGGAGGACAGTTATGATTTAAAAGTAAACACATTTGAGTGTCAAGTTGACAAGAGGCAGAATGATGATGGGTTAATATTGATGATCAACTTCACAGGGTCTAGACTCAACCAGGAGACAAGCCTGCTTGTGAAGGATTATCTCGGTTAGGTTAATTGAGATAGGAAGACCCACCTTAACCATCCTACTCCTGACTTTGGAGACAGTGTGACCAGTCACCTCAAGGTCCTGCTGTCATGACTGGCTGTTTCCTCAAGGTGTGAGCAGAAATAAAGCCTTCCTTAAGTTGCGTCGGTCAGGTGTTTTGTCTCAGCACTGAGGACAATTACTAAGACCGTCGTACACTTTGTGTTTTCAAAGAGGTCCATTAGAAAGTTGCCCTGTCTTCCCCCCATAGTCCAAGGCTTCCTTCTGTTCTGAAAGGTAACCTCCCAGCTCAATGTCATACTCAGGACACCTGAATCTTAAAGACAGGCGTTCTAGGGAATGGTTACCAACTCCCAGGAAGAGTCACAGCACTCTTAAAACAAGCTATATTCCTTTTTCTATGGGAAACTCCCCCTTTGTGTGTGGTATGAGATACCAGTTCTGATTAAGATCATATCTTTTCTTTTTATTTTAAAAATGAACACTTCCTTCACGCATAAATGAAATAATAACAATAGCCGATTTTCTTGTGACCGGAGCTTTGTGCCACTGCTCAGGGTCGGTGGAGGATGTGGTGTGTCCACTTTGCTATTTTAATTAGATCAGAGCAATTAGCTTAGAACTCAAGCTTCTGAAAACCCATTATAAAGATAAGGAATTCATTTGACTGTATTATGCTCCAAACTGTAAATGAGATTTAAGATTAATTGTCTAATAGGTTGATTTTAAATTGAAACTTCCTTCCATTTACATCTATCTGATTCACCATGAAGCTTGGTTTGAAAGGTTTCAAAATTACAATTCCTTAAAAATAAAGTTCTCTTTAGTTAAATTGAAGTCAATTTCTTTTTAAATCAAAGCGTTTTGTTCCTTTAAAATACTGCTTGCTCACTTCTAACTAGGTGGAGTTGTTGTTGTTGTCGATGATGGTTAAATAGAGAATAACATGAACGAGGGTAGGGGGGACCCTAACAAAAAGCCCAGTTCCTACTGTCCTTCCCACAACATGGAAAACACTGAAACAATCCTTTTTTTTTTTTTTTTCTTTTTCGATACAAATTTTCTCTGTGAATTTTTGGAGCTTGTTCTGGAACTCACTCTGTAGACCAGGCTGGCCTCCAACTCACAGAGATCCGCCTGCCCCTACCTCCCAAGTGCTGGGATTAAAGGCGTGCGCCACCACTGCTGACTTCAATCCCATATTTTTATTGTCAGGTTATAAATCCCATAAGGCAGATTATTGATGAAAACGATAGTCCTCCTATCCAGTGCGTGTAGCTGGGTATTTGCTATAGGGAGGCAGAAGGAACAGCCTGAGAGCAGGCAGTGGAGGAGGGACTCCATGGCTTCCGACAGAGGTGCAGTCAAGCTTGGATTGCAAGTCACAGAGAGTGTTTGGATGTGTGGAGATGAGTATGGTGGGTCTTGGGGCTAAAGAGAAGAGATGAACAAGGCAGGAACTGGAGGCAAGCCCATGCTGGGAGTTCTGTAAGAAAACTAGCAGATGTCAGAGGAAGGCAGTAACAGGGCTTGCACTCTGGCTGCATACTGCTTGTGGGAGTCATTGGAGAGGAAGTTCCAGGCAGCATATTAGCTGATTTTCTTTTGCTTATTCAACATGTATGCATCTGGTGCTCACCTTGTACCCAGTGCTGGACTTTTCCACATAGTTTAGTTGGGAACACATAAGGATAGGCATCGCGACGGTGGGAAGGGGCACAGAAGCTGCACTGGGTGTGACAAACCTCACAAGCTGGAGCTCACCAACTGTGTGGAAGTGAGACCTGAGAAAACACCAATTTAGTGTGAAGGGGTATGTGCGCACTCCTGTGTTCAGATGGTGCCGGTCAGCTGACAATCCATCAGGTACCTGACAGGAGAAACTCAGCCATCTTGGTGGTAAAATGTACAGCTCAATAAATCCCGAGTAATCCTTGAACTTGGACTGAGTGAACTCCACAGACATAGTCCCCAGCCCACAACCAACCAGAAAGTACCATAGGCCTCTAGAAATACTACTAGAAATACTGTCTTGATAGATGTGTGCATCTGAAAATCTATTTTATAAGTGATTGCCGTACTTCCATGGTACCTCCGTAAGAGTACAGCCATTCAGTGCCCAACGTGTCTTCCAAGCTTGAAGTCTTTGAACTGTTGTTTTTGCTGAGTGGCAAAAAGATCTTTATGAAAACAAATGGAGGAAGCAGTTTCGGTGGCTGATTGCTCTACTAGTCAGTCATGCATAAACACACAGCTGTCTGCTGTGCTGGGAACATGGATAGACGCTGTCCCTCACAATGGCTGGGCAGTCCAGACTTAATTCTGAGCAGAGAAAACTGATTTCATTGATATTTTGTGATGATAAGAGGAGAGGTTCAGGGAAGAACTGGAAGTAATTTAGTGGCTTGTCTTGACAGAAGACGTCCATTGTGGAGAAACAAACAGATTTGGTTCAGTTAAGGAAGGGCGATGCATTTTAAATATGTGGACGTTATTATTCATTGTCCTGTTCTTCATTGTTGTTTTTGTTTTGTTTTGTTTTGTGTTTTAAGGTAGGAAATGTTGTTCTTTGGACTGAGTTAAATGCTGCTCAGCATAAAAGGCTCGGCGTGGAACAAAGCTTGCAGACTGTGACTAATTGGCACAGCCTGGGCTATTGAGAAGACAGAATGTCTCTAATCAGCAATGGAACAAACACTCACTAAGGGTCTCCTTCCCTTTTAGGACTTCCTTCGCCGGGCATCTGGCCGGCATCCTTGTTGGACTGATGTACACTCAGGGGCCTCTGAAGAAAGTCATGGAGACATGTGCAGGTACAGAACAAGGCGCCTGGCCTGACAGCAGTTAGAAGCTCACCTTCATTTTTGTGTGCACAGAAGCAGCCCCAAGATTCCTTGTGGGTCACTTTGGAAATCTCCTGATGTACTCAGATTTCACTTTAAACCAAGAGCTAACAAGACAGCCATCACAGGTCCTCACACTGTTCCACAAAGGAGAATACCAACCCAAATTTCAATTCTGGGCTGTTCTTAAGGAACGAATGCTGCTATAGACTTTACCCTCACCCCTAATGAGTTCACAGAAAACTGCAATTTTCCTCCAAACGTGAGTTTACAATAATGTTTTTCTCTGTAACATTTCTTGAATTAATAGACATGCCTGGCAAGGTTACAGAAGGAAACCAAGGCTAGACTGGAGGACAGGGCCAGTAATTTGAAGAGTTCAGAATGACCACCAGGTCCCTGGTGGGCAAGACAATACATTCATGGGAAGCCAAGCCATGTAATTTATCTCTTGAGGTTTGGTTCCTGCTTTTTATTTTCTTTGCTATTTTTTCCTCCGCTTTTCCCCTCCTCTAAATTGATGTTCAATGAAAATGTTTTATTTAGTAGTGAATGCATTTAGACCCTTTAATATAAAATACTGTACTGATTTTGACTTGTAAGGCAACTATTTTGCAAACACTTGTTTTATAGACCATGTGCATTCTAATATTTCATCTTTTATTCATGGGAACTCTTCTGAGACTATTTTACCTTTTCTTGAACCATAAATAATTTGTTTTCACAGTTTGCACCGATGACTGTTGTTCTTGGGAACCATATAATATTCATGGCGTTTGAAAGCTTTCTGAGCCTTGCTTACTGGCAGGTTGTGTTCACTTCGGGGTGATTTTTACAGGCTGTGCTGCATCTATACATATCGCCATTTCTTCGCATTTGCCTGTTACCGTAGCTTGTGTGTGCCCGGAGGAGGCAACGGGAGCCACCTCTGCTAACAGTGCCCGGCTCTATCACATTCCCAGCTCAGTAGGACAGTGCCTCTCTGGTCATGAATACTGATAAAGGGGTAGAGTGCATTTTCTTGATCCACTTTTCTGGGTCTTAAGATTTAGTGGTTCTTAAGGCTCTCTGCGGACAAACTAAAAAATTGAGACATATGATTGGTTTAATTTTTAAAAAGGATTTTCCTGACCATTATAACCATTATAACATTTAAACTTTTTTTTTTTAAGCCTTCCTTAAGACCATATCTGTTTTCTGGGCAGACATTTTTACATCAATCTTTTTTTTTTTTTTTTTTTTAAGTAACACAGAAGAAAATTAAGTTTGAAAAACAGCTTACAAACTGTTTTCTGATGAAAGTAGAAAAAAGGATGTATAGTGAGCCTAGACCTGAAATGACACAGGAACTTGGAGGAAATGGCCAAGGATGTAGATCCTGCTGTGTTATGCTTCGTAAAAGAAGTGGGCCGTTCTGGGAGTGTGCCCGGGCCTCTTTCTGTCTGCTTCACCTGTGCCGGAGAAAGTCCCTTAGGAAGGGTAGGGTCTCCTAAGACCCTGTTGGGAGAAGGCTTTTTCCCACCACAGCATGTCTGTCTTTTTATACCGGCTTCAGAGCCCAAGCCTGGTGCCCTGAAAAGCAAACATCAGCTGAAGTCACCTAGAACCTTTAAGGAACCACAGTGCATGTAAATTAGGGTTTCACTGACACCCACCTACACACCCATACAGAGAGAGAGAGAGAGAGAGAGAGAGAGAGAGAGAGAGAGAGAGAGAGAGAGAGGAGAGAGAGAGAGGAGAGAGAGGAGAGAGAGACTGTTCCCTAAAAGGTTGGCTCCAAACAAATGAAGTTTGTTTTTACAATTACTTAGAAATCATTTAAAGTGACCCTGGGCTTTCTCAGGAAGAACTGCAAACTGAGTAATTGTTGGAGGATTAGCTGTTAAAACCCTTATGACTGCTATTAAAATGTTGTTTCCTTTGTATTTAGGCCCTTTTTCCTCCAATGTTGGGTATCTAGGACAGCAGTACTACTTTAATAGTGCAGGTAAGTTCATGTCATTTAATACAGTTTAGCTTGTTTTGAAAAACTGCAGAATTCAGTAGCATGGAGATGCTTTAAGATAGCATTAATTAGATTTGGATAAGGAATAGCTCACATGGCACACAATTGTACCTTGATTCTTCCTAGACACTGAATGGGTTGGGGTAAAGCAGGGTGCATCAGGTGGGATGTTAGGAAAGATGCTGACTCAGGCATGAAACAGTTGTCTGATTAGTGTAAGGCTTCTCGTGTACAATAAGGTGCATGTTACCCCCAAGACACCCAAGACTCACACCGGCAGAGTTTTTGGATTGGTTACAGGGACACAGTTCCACACTGTCTATCCCATCTACACACTCATTGAGGCTCTAGCTTGCCCTGATATACCAGGAGTCCTGCGGCAGCACATAACATCACATTGGCCAGAGACAGGGACATAGGTGATTTTGTGTGTGTGTCTTGTAAAGCCGTAGGATTGGATGATGATCTACCCCGATTCTAAGGTGGTTGACTTGCAAAGGTTCTATCTCCAACACAGATTAAACTTCTAGGCTCTTAATACCATTAACCGATAGAATCCAAGATTCAACTCCTACATGAGAGGAGAACATGGATGCATACACAATAATATTTAGGACTTTTGGAGAGGCGTGCAGTAATAGGTGCTGGGTGTCTTAATACAATAGACTAGACATGTTTCCCTTTAGATGCGTATGTTGAAATCCTAGCCCCTATCATGACAGTATTTAGAAGTGGGGCCTTTGGTGTGAAATCAAATCACCATAAGGTAATGTCCTTGTTAGCACCCACATGAGAAGGACTCTAAGAACTCCCTGGTCTCCTGCTGTTTGTGACTGTAGTTGGTGGCAGTCAGCAACCAAAAGAATACTGGCCGGGCGGTGGTGGCGCACGCCTTTAATCGGGAGGCAGAGCCAGGTGGATCTCTGTGAGTTTGAGTGAGTTCCAGGAAAGGTGTAAGGCTACACAGAGAAACCCTATCTCAAAAAAAAAAAAAAAAAAAAAAAAAAAAAAAAAGAGAGAGAGAGAGAGAGAGAGAATACTGAAGCACAATCCTAATTAGTCTTAACAATAAAACCCTGGAGTCAGATATCGGCAAAAGCTGAAAGATCAGAAAAGCAGAGTAACCAGCCACCAGAGACTTCTTACCTCTACAAATCCTCAGACCAAATGAGGGCCCAAGATCCTGTCTCCACTTCCCTAGTGCTGGGATTAAACGTGTGAGTTTCGCATGTGCTAGGATCAAAGGCTTGAGCCTCCCATGTGCTGAGATCAAAGGCATGCACCACCACTGCCCGCCTCTGTTTCTTTTTCAGACTGGTTCAGTCTTATATAGTTTAGGGTGGCCTTGAACTCCTGATCTTCCTCCTCCCAAGTGCTGGGATTAAAGGTGGAAGCCACTACTGCCTGGCCTCTATGGTTATCTAGTGGCTAGCTCTGCCCTCTGATCTCTAGGCAAGCTTTGTCAGAACACAAAATATCATACAAGAGAATACTCCCAGAACTAGAGCTGACATCCTAACTTGGACTGCTACAACATGTATCCACAGCATATACTTCATTAGCAGTTAACAATGGCCAGAGATTAGATTTGAGGCTGGCAGCCTTTTGTATGAAGTGCCAAATAGCTAAGGTTTTAGACACTGAAGCCTTTATTGCCCATTTGGCTCTGTTCTAACTAGCCGGCCCTTTCTTATATCATAAGAGCAGGCACTGACAGTTCATAAACAATTGGACAATGACTATGCGCCCAAAAATCTTAGGAAAATAAACCATGTGTCGGTTTCAGACCATAGGTTATAGTTTTGTTGGTTTTGTTTTGTTTTGAATCCTGGCTTACTTAGGCCTTTAATAGGTACAAAGAATTGTTCTTAATACATATCTGATGGTTGATCTTGATTGTCAGTCTGACTAAATTGAGAGCTGACTAAAAGGTCAATAAAGGGCACATCTGGGCACGTCTGTGAGGTAATTTTCATAGTCAATTAACTGAAGGGACACAACCTTTTTTTTGATAAGGGTGATGACATCCAGTAGGCTAAAGACCCCCTGAAATAAAAGGAAGAAGAATGAAACCCACCCACGACGACAGGCATTCTCTCTCTCTCTCTCTCTCTCTCTCTCTCTCTCTCTCTCTCTCTCTCCCTCTCTCTCTCTCCCTCCTTTCCTCCCTCCCTGCATCCTGGCCTCCATGAAGTGAGCATTTCAGCCCCACTGCTCCCTCTCTGTGATGATATCAGGCTCTGTCTTCCCACAGGTCCACAGCAATATGGACAAGCAGACATGGACTGAAACCATGGGTCAAAATAACTCCTTCATCCTGTGAAGGTGCTCTCTCAGGCATTTGCCACAGAGATGAAAAAACAAACACTATGTGCATGTAGTGTGTGTGTGTATATATATATATATATATATATATATATATATATATATATATATATATGTACACATATGCACATGCATGTGTGTCTAATATATTGCTTTGGGTTTATTTTCCCATATATCATTTTTTTTGTTTTTTGTTTTTTTTTTAGGTTTCATTTTTTTGTTGTTGTTTTTGTTATTTGTTTGTTTGTTTGTTTCGTTTTTCAAGACAGGGTTTCTCTATGTAGCTTCAGAGCCTGTCCTGGAACTCTGTGTGTAGGTCAGGCTGGCCTCAAACTCATAGATCCACCTGCCTCTACCTCCTGGGTGCTGGGATTAAAGGCGTGCACCACCACCGCCTGAACTCCATACAACTTTATTAACTCACAGACTTTTATCCAGCAGTGAAAAAACACTCTGTGAAGATCACATTGCAGAGTGTTGTTATGGACACTGTAAGAGAAAAAAATAGCAGTCTCTCTCTTAGAGTTTATAATGGAGGGGTGCTTGTGTAGGAATGGGTATATAGAGGTGGGTATACAGATGTGAGTGTTTAGAGGTAGGTATATAGGCATGGGTGTTTAGGGGTGAGTGTTTAGAGGTGGGTATGTAGGCATGGTGTTTAGAGGTGAATATATAAGGGTGGGTATATAGAGGTAGGTATATAGGCATGGGTGTTTAGGGGTGGGTGTTTAGAGGTTGGTATATAGGCATGGGTGTTTAGAGGTGGGTATATAAGAGTGGGTATATTTGAGAAAATTAAACAAAAGAGCCTGTCACACTAATTAGGTGATGATAAATGCTAAGCCATGATGTGGTATAAATGGGTAGCATTTGTTGAATTTTTACCTACTCCTCCTGTAGCTGTCTCCTGGAAGACTCCTACACTCAGGGAACATGCTCTGCCCTGCTCTGCCCTGCTCATCTCACTTCACAGCTCTCCAGCCTGGACAGTGCCGTTATTATCCTATATTACCTATTACACAATGTCTGAGAATGACTTTCTCCACTCTGCTACTAGATTTCCACAGAGGGGCTCGCCCATCCCCTTCTCTTCCTTCTAAGCAGAAGTCCAGACAGGAGTCTTGATGTGGAGGTAGGGATCAGTACCCTGGAAGGAGGAACAGAGTGGCTGTACATGAGGCTGTCCAAAGGAGGTGGAGTGGTGGGGCATGACAGGTAACTGGAAGTTAAGGAAAATGATTATGGAGAGAACTTCCCAAGGGAGAAGAAGCAGAATCAGAAGTGACCTGTTAGGGATTGTCCAGAATGTGCTAGGAAGGTCCTGATGATTAAATCCATAGTATGACAGTCTTAGAAGTAACCAGATTCTGTGTTCTCCATAGTTCTCAAGCTGTGGCTCACATCATGTATGAGTCACCTGAATAGCCTAAAATTTACCCAGATAATGAGTCAGAAGGGGAGGACTGGGAAACTTCCCCCTTCCCCGCTACGCACACAGTTTCTCAGGTGATGGGACAAAGAGTAAAAGCTATGGCCTTATATGACTGGGACCTTGGGCTTGGGGACCATAGATAAGAGTTCTTCTGTCTCTGCCTCAAGAAGGTGCTATGTGTGTGAGGCTTTCACCTCTGCTTGATCTGGACAGGGTGATGATTATCTTTTTTTTTTTTTTCTTTTTTTATACTTTACCCTTTTGGCTCTTTGCTCTTTGGGAGCCTTCCACCCAGCTCCCAAATAAATCACACACGGAGGCTTATTATAACTTATAAATGCCTGGCCTTAGCTTGGCTTGTTTCTAGCCAGCTTTCCTTAACTTAAATTTTCCCATCTACCTTTTGCCCCTGGACTTTTACCTTTCTTTATTTCTGTATATCTTTTCTTTCCTTCTTACTTCGTGGCTGGCTGTGTGGCTGGGTGGCTGGCCCCTTCTCTTCTCACTCCTTCTCTAGTTCCTTGATCTCCTCTTCCCAGATTTCTCCGTCTATTTATTCTCTCTGCCTGCCATCCATGCCTGTCCTCTCTCCTGCCTCACTAATGGCCGTTTGGCTCTTTATTAGACCAAGCAGGTGTTTTAGACAGGCACAGTAACACAGAGTTAAACAAATGCAACATAAAAGAATGCAGCGTATCTTTGCATCATTAAACAAATGTTCCACAGCATAAACAAATGTAGCCCATCTTAAATTAATGCTCTACAACAGTTAACAACTGAACTGAGATGATGAGATGGTGTGATTGATCAGCCTTTACGGACAGAGCTGGTAACTATAGTCCCTTGAAGAGCACTTTGGTTGTCCTTTGTAGGAACCAGTTCACAGTGAGTAAAGTAGAAGAGAGTCTTCCTGACCAATGTGACTGGGAGGAGCAGAGCTGGTCAGGAAAAACCATCATAGTTCTGCCTCCCATTGTGGTGCCTCTTATCTTGTTGACTCGTACCCTCCAGGAGGCAGAGGACAAAGCAGCCCACAGTTGGAAGTTGTTAGAGGGAAAGAGGCTTCTCTGATGGTTTACTTCTGTAAATCTCCACAGGAAATAACAGTGGAGTCTGGGGAGAGAGTTCTGTTAAGAGAACTTCTTTTTGCACAAGTATAAGGACATGGGTTTGATCCCCGGAACCCAGGTTTAAAAAATAAATAAGTAACAGGTACAGTGGCATA